AAGTCAGTGGAGATCTTCTCTGCATGCTTCCTGGATCTGGAGGCATGCGGTTCCAGCAATGTGGGTAACTTAACCCCAGTTGTCGTCTCTGCAGACCTGATGATGCGTTGCGGTCTGTGGAGGTCATGCTTGGTGGCTGAGCTGCCCCACACTGTGATGGACGTGGTGCGGTTCTACACAGAGTCTGTCATCACCATCAGCTCCTGGGGCAGGTTGAACTTCCTCAGCTGACGCAAGAAGTACATCCTCTGCTGGGCTCTCTTGATGATGGAGCTGTCCCACTTCAGGTCCCTGGTGATTGTTGTGCCCAGGAACTTGCAGGACTCTACTGCCACCACAGTTCTGTTCCAGATGGTGAGTGCGGGCAGGGTTGGAGGGCTCCTCCACTGTCATCTCCACTGTTTTGTTGTATTCAGCACCAGGTTGTTGTGGCTGCTCCAAAGGACCACCTGATCAACCACTCGTCTGTAAGCAGACTCGTCACTGTCTCGGATGAGACCAATGACTGTAGTGTCATCTGCATACTCCGAGGTTTTGACTGAGGGGTCCGTGGAGCTACAGTCATTGGTGTATAGAGGGATGAGCAATGGTGAGAGTACAAAACCCTGTGGAGCGCCTGTACTGATGATCTGGGTGTTTGAGGTGAACTTTCCCAACCTCGCCTGCTGCTCTCAGTGAGGAAGTTGGTGGTCCACTGGCAGGTGGGGGTTGGCACGCTGAGTTGGAGCAGTTTGTTGTGTAGCTGTCCTGGGATGATCGTATTAAAGCCTGAGCTGATGTCCAAGAACAGAATTCTTGCATACGTTCCAGGGTGTTCAAGCAAGAGTCCCATGTTCACTGCATCGTCCACCGACCTGTTTGCCTGGTATGCAAACTGCAGGGTGTCTGGCAGATGATCTGTGATGTTCTCCAGATGGGTGAGCACCAGTCTCTCCATATCATTCAATGTTTTATTGATGCAGTTTTCAGTTACATTTTCACTATGTTCTGTGAGCTTTTGGGAGGACTAAAATGTCTGCATGCAAAGCCGTACACTGAGTCATTCTTTTAACATTCGAGTCAGGGGTGGATATTGTACCAGGCCACCTTAGAACTACTTCTCCTGTCTACCATTAGAGTCCTTGGACACATAAATATTATGTGGATGTTTAGGTTACTTTCAAGCAATCACAAACCTACAAATGTTTATAGACACCATATAAACTGACTAACAGGGAGCTCTTTAACATCATGGTTACGGCTATGAATGCAAATGTATTTTTTCCTGTCTCACACTCAGCTTCCACCTCGCCCTCAGGCCTCACTTCTAAAACGTCCTTCTGTCTCTACCTGCTCTACTGTGTCTTCACTGTTAGAACCATAGATATGCATACCTAGATGCCGCGTTGGGTCCAGTTGGGCACGTCAACCGCGCCGCCCTTTTAGGGCGGTCAACATCGCTGCTGGACTGCACTCTGTACCATTACAGAGCGGCAGTTTGAGAAAGGCACTGTCCAATATTATACTATTTCAAGAATATTGCTCTCAGAAAGCGGGATGGGATTATATAACGGAGGGAACACAGCGATCCACGCTCAGGTTTGTGTGATGTTCTTGTGTAGATATGGCCGTGCGGTTGGTGATGCACAGAGAACCTGTTGATATGATTGTTTTTCCTCTGGTTTTATATTAAGCTTATTTCACTGAATAGTCAATTCAGGGGATCTTAACTTCATGTAGTAGTTATTTATTTACAGTCATGGTATTGCTTTGTAGGTAAAGTATAGCATTCCTTAATCCTTGTAATAGATTAACGTTAGCAGCTTCTTGTTCGAATTTTCCCGTTCCACCTTAAATGGTGCAGCTTCAGGCACCAGAAAGTTAAGGTGAAACGGGAAACTCGGATGAAGCTGGCGAATAGGAACACATACAGCTTCGTCCTTCTTACTGTGTTTTGGGAGGGTTATTTTGTTTATATGTGTATTAAGATTAGAAGTGATTCACATATTGATGGGTTTGCTGATGTTTCTACCGGAGCTCGAGCTAAACTCGGTGCGGACAGCTAATTAGCACGATCAGTCGTTAAAGAAATAAAAGCTACCGAGAGCAGTCCGAGCAACCTAAATTAATCTATGCCTGGGGATTATAACAAAACAAATTTGGTGAAAATCGGTTGAGTAATAAGGAAGTTGTGGCCGCTTTAATCATAAGAACTCGTCATTTCTCAATACAAGTGCATTTATTCACAAGCGGATCTTGACCGCTCCAACATGGCGGACGCGCAGACGTATCGCCTCACATAGAGAACAACAGGCAAGGGGGCATCTAGGTATGTATAACCAGAGCCGGTTTATGAGGAGCCTGGCCCCCCCGTTATATCAAAAACAGGACTGTTAAACAGCAGAGGGCGCCCGCGAGCGAGTCCTCAATGAATGGGAGTGAATGGAGCTCAACGGCTAAAAACGAAAAGTTCAAACAGTTTCTAATCACTTACCCAGAACGTTTCTTTAATTTTAGAAAGTAGAAGGATGTATTTCACTAAAAAACAAAGAAATCTTACCGAAATATTTACTTTTACAGCAAACGGGTTTAGGGCAGCAGAAGGCGGGCTTTACTGCTAGAGCGTGATGATTGATTGGCGAGCGGAGCAGCTCATTGGCTGTTCGCGCTCACTGACGTCATGAACGTACATGAGGCGCCGTTTTAAACTCCTATAACTCGAGTTTAAAAGCTCTTACAAATATAACAGCGCTGTTAAATTGTTTTATGCTGCTCTGTGTTCATGAAATGATTATTTTACATTAAAATTGTTTAAGCATTTATAAACTATGATTTTGATCAAATGCTCCTTATTAACCCATTCATTTTGGACTCGCTCGCGTTTAAGAAAACCCAACCTGAAAGATCCGGTTTTGCCTGACTTCCTGCACGACTGTTTTTTTTTGTTTTTTTTTGGATAAAGAGCAAATATATAACACTTCTCCTCTTCATTTTGGAAACAACTATAGAGCAGAAAACAAACATCATGGCACCACTACAATGGGATTTCTGCGTTAGCTAACTGGCTAACACTATACATGTACGTAGATACATAACGTATTTCGTAATGTAACACGTTCTCAATATCGCTGGCCTGCATGACTGTTAGTATATACAACTAACGTAGCACACTTAGACAGATTTGACCAAACATTTTACTCACCTTTCCCTCTTTTTGTTTGGTCTCTTTAGCGCTTTCTACTCCACAAAGGAAACACGGGCCGTCACCTAAAAGGGTCCGACTGGAAAGTGTGTTCTTAGGTTTGTGTGCCGCTTTGTCACTGCGCGTTCGCGACTCACTGCTCAGGGGGAGGGGGAGGGGAAGGGGGGCCAGCTTATTGTCCCAAGGGCACTGTTATCACTCTCTTTACTAAAAACAATACACTGAAATACATTAAAGCATTAAAATAGATGCCGAATTTGTGCCAGAATTTAATACAGTCCGCCTTGAAATAAAAGGCATGATTATATTGCTTTCCTACGGAGCCCCGCTGGTGACATCCTGTATAAATAAAAATAATGCGTGGCCACGCCTTATTAATGCGTGGGAACGAGATCCCAATGCGTGGCCACGACTTAGTAAGGCGTGGGAATGAGATGATTAAGTCGTGGCCACGACTTAATAATTTCATTCCCATGCCTTACTAAGTCGTGGCCACACATTATTTTTATTTATACAGGATGTCACCAGCGGGGCTCCGTACTTTCCACCTTCCAGTACCTCAAACAACTTTAAATCAACGTAATGGATTTTTTACTTCTAATTTCGGAAGATTTTCTGCCCGTTACTGTTTAAAAGTGCAGTGTGTAAGATTTAGGAGGATCAGTAAGGGCGATTCAGCGCCACTGAATCGTTTACATCATTGTAAGCACAGGCGAGTGTTCAGGGGTAACATTAGATTCGATTCGACTTGATTCAGATTGACTGTAACATGTGCCGCTGATGAATGTTGAGGGCTGGTCAGTATTTTGGTCATCCGTTATTTAATAATAACCTCTGTGGCAAACGTAATAACAAATGTAATTTATTTACATATTATAAACGCGTGTGAATGTTTAGAACGATTCGATTCGGTTCGAATCGACTCTGCAGTGTTCGGAGCTGATGACTTTCCCCGCGCGGGAGACTCAGTGTCACTGTTTTTTTGTGTGCAAACATCAGTTACGGCCTCGTTCTGGAGAAACTGTGGCTCGTGCGAGCAGAAAGCAGGCCTGTGTGGAGGCTGTGGTGGGACGCTTGGGTTTTAAAGGGGAACTCCACCACTTTTTCAAAATTTCTGTCCAGTTCAGTGGTTGCGATGTGAAGCCATTCAGAGTGGTTTGGTGTGAAATGGTTCATCTGCAGAGAAACTTACAGACTCAGATTTCTTTAAAGTGGTGGTGATAGGAACCAGGGGCCCACATCACAAATATAGCCATTTTAGTTACTATCCAAAACCACCAGTGAGCCTACATGTATATTCTGAGTTTTTATATGTGATGCTGATGATGGTAAAGTAGTGATAACCTGAAAAAAATATTTTTCTTTGTGGACTATTTTTGCCTTCATTTATCTCTCCACCATGAATAATGGATTAAAATACGTCTTAGACCAAAAACTTCTCAGACATTAGGCAGCGTATATCTAACCACTTCGTTTAATGTGTTTCTGTAAGGGACATTTACAGGTGGACGTCTGGTTCCTATCACCACCACTGTGAACAATTCTGACTCTGCAAGTTTCTCTGAAACGAAGCGTTTTACACCAAACCTCTCCGGGTGACTCTGCTTAGAGCATAACCATTTAATTTTACAGCAATTTTGAAAAATCGGTGGAGTTCCCCTTTAAGTGGCTCCGCAGCGCTGGCGGGCTCTCTGAACACCCACATCAGCAGGAGCCGTGTTGGGCTCACACACAAGCGGGTTTCGGTCTTTCGGGCTAAGCAGGAAGTGATCAGTTAAAGCTAGAGGGGTAGGAAAAAAAACCTCCACCACGACCAAAGTAGCCGAAAGACATGGAGATGGTTTGCGAAAGTGGGACGTGTAGACCGTATCGGACACCGAGCGAGCCGGGTCGTCAGTGAGTGTGTTGTTTTGTATGAGGGTCGGAGGACGGAACGAAACCCGCAGAAACGGGGAGAGAGCCACCGGGGCGCGGAGGGATGGAGGGAGGGAGGGAGAGAGGGAGAGCGAGAGGGAGATGGGTGGCGGGCGGAGGCCAGGGAAAGGGAGTCAACGGGCTATGCGGGCTTCTTTGCTTTTTAATCAGTTGGAGATTACATTATGTATTTTAGTGAAAGTGTGAATTTAGGTAATTGATTACTGGATGCTAACTTGTTAGCCACATTAGCCTCTTAGTTACAGTGCAAAACTAAAGAAGCAATCTTCAGACACCAAATCATGGCTGATTAGTTACATTTGGGGTTATTGACAGTTATTATAATAAATATTGACCGAAACTTGTGAATATTGAATGTAAATGTAACTCATTACACAACTATTTAGTAAGTGTTACATACACTATCACACATAGACAATAGCAAAAGTGACAGCTATCACTATTAATGGTTAATCTCAGTTATAATATTGCCCCCTAGTGTTGGTACTGTGTAACTGCATGGTTCTCTCTGTGACCCACAGCACTCGTTCTATGCAGTGATGCACTTTGCTGGGCTGAAAGCGGTGGGAGAATCAGTGGAGCAGCCGTTACGCTACTACAGGGTCAACCTCACAGGCACAATCAACCTACTGGAGGTGAGCTTTAGACCACCAACGTACTCTGTTTCTGGATTATCTGCTCAGCTTTAACCCTCCTAGATCTCGCGTGGCTTTCAGACAAACGGACAGACAGACAGACAGACAGAACTTTATTGATCCCGGAGGGTAATTGCAGTGTTTCAGTAGCAACACATATAATTGCACATAAACTTACATATACTATGTAGAAAAATAGAAATAAATCTAGACATAAGTTAAAGTACAAGAGAAATAAAATAAAAGTATATCTGTTTACATATTTACATAGTCATTACAGTAATAGTTGTGATATATTGCACAGTGTGTATTAATCAGAGAGGTGATATAGTGATGTGGTCTTCTTTTATGTGTTATTTAATTATTCCTCACTCAGCTTATTAAAACAAAGAGAGAAATTGTGTGGAAAGTGCAGATTCTGAGGAGGAGATGACGATTTTATTTTTCATTTATTTATTTTGTAATTTTCTGTTTCTTGGAGAAAGCCTTTAGAAAAGAATAAAAAATAGATTTTATAAATCTCAATGTCAAAAGATTTGATAAATGTCAAATCAATTATTTCTTTCAAGTTTGAAGGCTGATTTTTGCTCCTAAGTGGTCAATTGCTGTTTTAAACTATCCTTTATGGTCTGAACATGACAAACACTGACATGACAAACACTCAATGCCAAACGGTGGAACATTTCACAAATCTGTCATGGGAGAGTGGGAGAAAGTTTCTGGTCAGCTGTTTTTACCAGCTGGAAAAGCACGGCTGCAATTTTTGTAATATTCATAATTTAAGAAAGAAAAGATTATTTTTAGCTGGCTGGGCTCTCCGGTTACAAGTGCTAAACTGTTTAGTTTCTCAACAATGTCAGCTTAGTACAAACAGCAAACATTAGCTGACTCGGTACGTCAATGATGGATCACACCGCCTTACTGCCAGCACTCCTACCACATCCATGTCAGAGCTTATCACAGTATTCAGACACCAGCTAGCAGACGTCTGGATTTCTCTATTCTATTATAATAGTTTGAGGGGTGAACCGCAATATATCTGACGCTCGCTGTGTAAAAGCTTTAACTGCAGTGTGGTTCTCTAACACTAGACAAACAGAGTCCTCCTTTTAGGTACGTTTAAACTGAAATCGGTGCTTTTTTTGTCTTGTTTGCTCTACAGTAACATCAATTCACCGTGTTGTGCGAGAGACAGAGTGCTGCTCCAAGTTAGCCAGCCGCTAAAAACAGCTAGCCTGGGAAGCTGGCGTTTTCCCACTCTCCAGTGCCTCACAGCTTCCTCAGTTTACTTTCGTTTAAATCAGGGATTTATTTTGCCTGAACCCACTTCTTTCTTTCACTTTTGTTGCTTGGAAATGCACCAATGCTAAAATATGACTGAGTGTTGTAACACACAGTGCTGTAGTTGTGTGGACCAGACGTGATTCACGCTGCTAAAGCTTGTTAAGATGTCAGGAAAGAGGTGAGTTCACAGGACAGTATAGTTACACCACTGACCTCGTCACTCACACTCAGTCACAGGAGAACAGATCACTGTTTGCTCCACTCAAACAGGGAGTATATAACTTCACGTTTCAGACGTTGTTAAAGTATATTTGGCCACTCCTTGAACCCCCCTCCACCCCTAATCATGCCAAAAAACTCAGAAGTGCGTCCTCTCGTGGCGACAGCGGAGTAGTATCATTATCCTTGCAGTAGAAAAACGCCACCAGGGCTGTCGCTAGAACGTATATCGAAACATTTCTTATAGTTCTATCGAGGAAAGTTATATCGTGATAATTATCATTATTGTTTTATCACCCAGCCCTACCCTCGAGCCAACTACGGTGAAAAAACTCTAAAACTCTAAAAAAAAAACTCTAAAACTCCAAAACTTTAGACTCTTAGAGTCACAGGCCAAGAGTCAACTCACCAGATGCATTGAAGTCGAACAATCATTTTTTCAGAATCGACTCCCCATCAGAAATTCCTTTTGCTTTGCAGTGTTTTTTCCTCTTGAATTTCCTTTGGTGGTTAATGACCAATTTTATTAATACTGTACATCTTTGTTCTCCCTATTGTTTTTTGTTTTCCTTGTGTTATTCTTGTGCTTCATTGTTGGCCTGTTTTTGATGCTCTGTAAGTTGACCTCATGTCTTGAAAAGGTGCTATATGAGTAAATTATTAGTATTATTATTATTAATATTATTTTTATGCATGAATGAACAAAGCTGTTGCATGGTTAAAAACAGTAGCAGTGTCTTGGAGCCTGAATTTTATCCACACGTTCGTCCATTTTTATAAACAATAACATAGGTTTGCAGTTTGCACACTGCTAACTGGGGGAGTATAAGTTTCCATTACTTGTTAGGTACATTAGCCTCATAGTTACAGTGCAAAACTAAAGAAGCACAATTCAGACACCAAACATGTCTTGGCTGGTTAACCTATTTGGGATAAAGAGGAAAATTGCAATCACTTTAAACAGAGCTCCAACTACCAGAGCTGAAACACTGGTACTAAAGCAGTAGGACCTGCTCTCTTCACTGATTTCCCAGATTTAGCCCACAAGCTAACTGTCAAATTAGGGTGTTAGAGATTGTTGAACATGAAGAATGTGCAGTTTATTCAAGACAAACCCTGCAAACCCTGGCATCTTCACTCTCTCCTGTACAGACTCATAATCACTAATCTGACTCTTCTTCCAGGACTGGAATGCGGTGTTGCTCAGGTACTTCAACCCCATCGGTGCTCACATCTCAGGACAGATCGGTGAGGACCCACAGGGAATACCAAATAACCTTCTACCCTGTGTGGCACAGGTAACCGGTTTGACCAATCAGAACCAAATAAGGGTTCTAAACTACAGATTTGAAGTAGTTTTGGTAACGGCTGCTTTGTTTGTTGGTGTTCCAGGTTGCTATTGGAAGAAGAAAACATCTGAATGTGTTTGGAAATGACTACAACACAGTTGATGGAACAGGTAATAGTAATGGATGGGGATACTGTCAACATCTGTATGGGTAGCACTGTCGCCTCATAGTAAGAAGGGTCTGGGTTCGATTCCCCGCGTGGGCGACCAGGGTCCTTTCTGTGCGGAGTTTGCATGTTCTCCACGTGTCTGCGTGGGTTTCCTCAGTTTCCTCCCACAGTCCAAAGACATGCAATCCGATTAATTGGAGATGCTAAATTGCCCCTCGGTGTGAATGTGTGTGGATGTGTATGTTTGTCTGTCTGCCCTGTGATGGATTGGCGACCTGTCCAGGGTGTTTCTTGCCTCAGCCCAATGACTGCTGAGATGGACTCCAGCTCCCCCTGCGACCCAGAAGGATAAAGTGGTTTAGAGAATGTATGTATGCGTGTATAATACAAAATAAAATAAAAATGTAAGAATAATATAAAACCAAATTTGCTGCAGATAAATGTATAGAATGATTATAACATTGTGCGAAAATCTTTTATTACAAGTTCATGTTTTTTTGGGACGATATACTTCAGATCATTTGAGCTGTTATAATTTGGAATCTGTAAACAACTGGGAATTTTACTTGTGTGCAGAGTGATGAGCAGGTTAGGTGAATTTAAAGAAAGAGAAAGTGAAAGCTGAGAAAGATATGTAGCATTTAAGGATTACAGAGATGATCAAATCTCAGGCAGGTAACTTGACAAAATTAGCTATAAATAGATAAATACACTCATTCACCATTGAAAAACTATTGTTCCTAAAAAGTGAAATATTTAATAAAATCATTGATAATGTAATAACCACTGTAAATATGATCTATTTCTTATATATAAGAAAATAAATCATTTGATAAGACAAGTGATTCAAAACTTTTGAACAGTCTGAACAAGCAGTTTTAGTGTTATGAATCTTCTTTGCTTCATTTTCTCTCCCCTTTCTTTGTAGGAGTGAGGGATTACATTCATGTAGTGGATCTGGCAAAGGGACACATTGCTGCACTCAAGAAACTGAAGGACAACTGCGGCTGCAAGGTAGAATTCCCTTCTTTTCGCTTCTTCTCTCTTCCATATCACCTCTCTTCTTGTGTTTACGCATGTCTTTCTGTTTCTCTTTTTCTTTCTCTCTCCTCCTCTCTGCAGGTGTATAATCTGGGCACAGGTACTGGCTACTCTGTGCTGCAGATGGTGAAGGCTATGGAGAAAGCTTCCGGAAGAGAGGTGTGAATAATTATACACGAAATTCATTTCATTTTTTAAAAATTCAATGTGAAAAGATAAAGACGCCCATTTCTTAACATCAGCTTCCAGTGGTATTCTGGGTAGTTTTTGTAGAATCTGTTTATGGCATTAGATTTTTCTCTTTTTTTTCAGATTGCATATCAGATTGCCCCCCGGCGGAGCGGAGACATCGCGTCGTGCTATGCAGACCCTCGTCTGGCGGAAAAAGAGCTGGGCTGGAAGGCCAATTTTGACCTAGAGAGAATGTGTACGTATAATCTGTGCTTCCAATGACTGTGAAACTGGATTTATTTGTAGAGGATTTATTAGTAAGTCCTATTAACTGTTGCAGTTTAGGGCGGCACTGTCGCTCACAGCAAGAAGGGCCTGGACCTGGGCGTGGACCTGGGCGACCAGCGTCCTTTCTTTGTGGAGTTTGTATGTTCTCCCCGTGTCTGCGTGGGTTTCCTCCCACAGTCCAAAGACATGCGGTCAGATTAATTGGAGATGCTAAATTGCCCCTCGGTGTGCTTGTATGTGTGAATGTATGTGTCTGTCTGTCTGCCCTGTGATGGACTGGTGACCTGTCCAGGGTGTTTCCTGCCTTCCACCTAATGACTCCTCGGATAGGCTCCAGCTCCCCCCGCGACCCAGTAGGATAAGCAGCTTAGAAAATGTGTGTGTGTTGCAGTTTAATAGTGTGGATCTGGCTTGTCAAACTGGGGACCCGCTGGACCAAAGTGCTGCGGATATCAGCGTTTTCCCTCATGTAACACTCTGACTTCAGTCCATTAAGGCCTTGCTAATTAGCTGATGAGCTGAATCAGGTGTGTTTAATGAGGCTGAAGTCTGCAGTGTTCTGGCCTGCAGGGACTGGAGTCTGACACATGTGGTGTGGATGTATGAATCTACAAGATTCACAAATTCTCGGGGTTAAGAATTCAGCTAGAAATGCTGGACAAAATATAGCTCATTTCTATAGTTCAGTTCAAGTATAGTTAAAACATCTAAACTGTATCTGTACTTCTGTTCATTTTTATAGAGGACGGAGTGTCATTCGGTATCAAAAGCCACATGACCCACTTTATTTGTGATTATTTAAAAGGGCATTTCAAATGATTTGTCAGTGTTTCTGCAGAATTCAGTGGTTGAGATGTGGACAAAGTAATTCAGAGTGGTTTGGTGTGAAGTGCTTCGTTCTAGAGAAACTCACCGAGGCAGAATTGTTCACTGTGGTGGTGATAGGAAGGCATTCAAAATGTGTACTGCCTCTAAATCTGCCCCACATAAAGTTATGGAATGAAATGGTTATGAATATGCTGCCTGATTGCTTTGCAATAAAAGATTTTAAAATATCTTTTATTTTCTCCTTTTTCAGTTCACCACTGTTTTACCATCATCAACATTACATATAAACCTCAGAGGACACATATAGGTTCACACCTTATTTTGGATAGTAAATAAAATGGCTATATTTGTATTGTAGACATGGCAGCCCCTGGTTCCTATCACCACCACTGTAAAATTGGTCATTTTGTTTTTCGGTGGACCATTTCACAACAGACCACTCTGAATGACTTTGTTTCCGTCTTTATGAATGAATTATGCAAAAATGTTTTTAAAAACTGGTGGAATTCCTCAGCTCGACAGGCGAGTCGATTTAGGCAAACATGTCTTGACTGATCAACTACATCTGGGGTAAAACTGTATTAACTATTACTTTAACCTACTAAAGGCTGCTGACTGATTTTTCCAACACACTTGACTGTGTCCTGTGATCCACATTTGCTGAGGTCATTTCCTGTTTACCTGGTCTGACAGGTGAAGACTTGTGGCGCTGGCAGTCCCAGAATCCCACCGCGTTCAGCAACGGCACGGTGCAGTGAAACAGACCCACTCAGGAGAGACCCTGACAGCGAGAGCCATGAAATCCTTCATTTTTATACGACTTGATTTCACCTGGAAGAAACCTCATGACACAATGAATGATTTACATTCCTAACACTGTTATTTCTACCTGTTTTCTTTAAATTATTATCATCCAGCTTTATCTCCTTAATGAACCTTACGTGTATTTTTAATTGTTTCTTGATTCCATTTCTAATCTATTGGTCCAAATTTCACTTTATCTCTGTACCTCTCGATTAATTTAAGTCTTTATATTCAGATTAACTTTATTCTTTTTGGTAAAAATGTTGGATTACTGATGGGTTTTTTTTAGTCTTGTTTAGTTTTTTTCATCCAACTTGGCTTCAGTTCATAACTGCATTGAAGTCAAATACAAGAACAAAACAGGTGCTTTTTTTGCAACTAACATAATGAAAGTTATGTAATAAAAAGGGATTTGTGGATATAAATTTTAGTGTCTATGCATATATAACAAACTTACAAGGGTGCACATTCAGGTCTAAAATGACAGTTAAACATAACCAGTGTTAAGCATTTTCATCATGTCAGGAGCTCCTTTTGCGATTAACTGATGCCCTTTAATAATGTATTGATTGCACATTCCTGGGAATGTTCGTTCTGTTTGATTTTATTTGACTGTATTCGATTCTAAAGAGTTCAGCACTGAAAAACATCCCATGAGGGAAATTTGATGCTTTTTTTGTAATTAGTAATTTAAAAATATAGCATTTTTAGCAAAAAAGCATGTAATAAGTTACATTATTTTAAGTTTCTGAGAAACTTCAGACGTAACATTCATTTTGATTCAAATTGATTATGTAGCATTGAGAATGAGGACTTTCCTTTGAGTCTAATTTTTCTTAGAGCAGTTATTAATGAATCATAATTATAATTTTAAATTTAAATAATTTACAATGTGCTGGATTAGTTTAAATGTTAAACCATGTTCAGGCACTGTGAGTTTTCAGTGGGCGATTGAGTGTCACTGTAATTACTGATTTAATAATTACTATAATAATTACTAATAACTGATGAATTTCAGTAATTATTGTAAAGTCAGCCATAACATTAGATTCAACTGATCTGATTCACTGAACACTGTAGCGCTCAGCGCTGCTGCATTCCTCACAAGGACGGATTGATTCTTTGTAATAAGAAATTCAACAATTACTATTGCAGTTTAATCATTTACATTATTGAAAATGCGTAATATCATTAGATTTGATTCAGTTTGAATCGATTCAGTTCGACTAGCATTCGTCACTGAGGAATTTTACATGAAGCTAATTCAAAGCTGCTTCTTTGTAGTTAGTAATTTAATGATTAGTAACACAGTTGAAAAATGTAACATCATTGCAAAGGCATGCAAATGTTCGGATGTAACATTAGATTCAGTTTGATTCATTTGTGTAAATTCAAAACGACTAACATTTTGGCACTGATTAAATTATAAGGACGATTCAGTGTCTCTAGTTTGTAATTAACATTTTCATAATAATTGATTATTAATTCATACAATCGTTTAGTGTGATTTGATTGTTTGCTTCAAATCAGCTATACAGCATCCAGTGCTGAATTACCCATGCGGCCATACAGTTACTACATGCAGTTGAATCATTTACATCACTGTGAATACATGTGAATGTTCAAATGTAACATCAGATAAGATTTGAGTCATTGGATTTGATTCAGATTGACTAACATTTCCCATGAGGACAATTTAGTGTCACTTTTTTGTAAACAGCAATTTAATAATGTCTAAAGCAATATAGTAATTCACATTATTATAAATTCATGCAAATGTTAATACAGTTCAATTCAAATTGCCTGTAGCATTCAGCACTGATACATTTCTAATGAGGGCAATTCATTTAAAAATTACTCTTGCAATTAAATCTTTTACATAATTGTAAATGTATGCAAGTGTTTGGATGTAACATTTGATTCGATTTGATTCATTGGACTTGATTCAGAAAGACTCTTTAACATTTGGCACTGATGAATTTACCATGATGGCCTTTTAAAGCCACTTTTTTGTAATTAGTAATTTAATAATAACTGAGGTGATAAAGTAATTTACAATATTATAAATTAACATGGATGGTCAGTGTGATTCCATTCAATTTGGTTCGAATTGACTCCATAGCGTTCAGCGATAATGAACTTCCCATAATGGCAATTTCCTATGATGGTACTGCTTTGCTATGAGTAATTTATCAGTTACTAAAGCAAATAAGTCACATTATTTACATTTAAATCACATTATTTACATTTAAATTTACATTATTGTTGATGCGTGTGAATGTTCAGGCGTAACATTTGATTTGATTTGATTCATTCGACTTGATTTGAACTGACTGCAACATTTGGCACTGATGAATCTACTATTAGGGAGAGAAGTTCAGTGTCACGTTTTTATTAAATTTATTAATAGCTGATACATGATTACAAATTCACACAGATATTTAGTGTGATTTGATTCAGTTGGATTGGAATTGACTCTGCATTCGGCACTGATGGATAAGGACGATTCAGCGCCACTTCCTTGTAATCGGTAATCTTACGATTAGTAATGCCACTGAATCATTTACATCATTGAAAGTGCATGTGAATGTTCAGACAGCATTTAATTCAATTTGATTCAATCAGCTTGATTCATTTGGCACTGCTGTATTTACCAAGAGGGAGGGCGGTTCAGTGTCACATTCTTATGAGTAGTAATTTAATAATAAGTAATATTACAAATTAATGTGAATGTTTAGTGTGACTCAATTCAGTTCGATTGGAATCGACTCTGCATTTGGCACTGATGGATTGTCAGCAGGGGTGTAAAGAGTACAGAAAATCCCTACTCGAGTACAAGTACTGTTACTGTAGTGATAATTAACTCCAGTACAAGTAAAAGTATTAGTAAATAAAAGTACTCAAGTAAGAGTAAATGGGTAGTTCATTAAAAAACTGCTTAAGTACTGAGTTACTTAGTTAGAACCTGAACATATTTCTGAGCTGACTTGGCTACATCAATGGAAATAATCTGTACAGAAAAACACTAAACCTAAAGTTCTGAGAGCTGAGAGTGATCACAGTTCGCCCTGCTGGTCACACTTACACACATTCCTGTGAACTGAGTAAGGAACAAGGTTTACATTAAACTGCATGCATTTCATGGTTAGATGATTATGAGACGTCCTAGTTTATCTGTTTCCAATAATGTATATTAGAATCCCTGAAAGACGGTGCAGAGGCTACTGTTTAAGTTCATTTAAGAGAAAAAAAACTGAGTTAAAATTATGAGTATATCGCTTAATTAATAATGTAATTTTAGTGAGACGTGCTGCCCATCAGCTCCCTGGACTCTAGCTTAACAGGTGTGACCCTCTACAGACAGTAAACACATTCACAGCCTTCAAACTGTATATTTTCACTGATATCAGTTCAGAACATTTACACCATTAAAATCAGCAGCAGCATCAGCAGCTTACCCAGCTTTGATTTTACTGTAATATATTTCACTAATCATGCTGATCAGTTCATACAGAACCAGACATTATTACTGCATTTCACAGTTAAACAGCTACACAGCCTCTCATAGTCAAAGACAAACACCAAGGCAGAGAGAGAGACAGACAGACAGACAGACAGAGGAAGGGGGGGAGAGACAGAGGTAGAGGAAGAGAGATGGGGGGAGGAAGAGACAGAGATGAGGGGAGGAAGAGAGACAGTGAGGAAGGGGGAAGGAAGAGAGACAGGGAGAGAGAGGAAGAGAAAGGGAGAGAGGAACAGAGAGTAAGAGGAAGAGAGGGGGGGAGGAAGAGAGAGAGAGAGAGAGAAAGGTGGGGAGGGATCAGATCAGGCCAGTCATCTTACAGAACGACAGTACGACAGAATCACTGTCCGTAGTTTAAGAAGAGCCTGTATTAGACTAGATTTCTTGTCTCACAGCCGTTCACGACCGTTTATCTCCAAAACAGCAGCTAAACTAGGCTGTATTTTAAACGGTAAACTGTAGTCCGTGGGTGACACCCGTTAACTAAAGTAGCCGAAAGACACTATATAGATATTAGGTTTAATAAACAGAATCATTATAAAAGAAGAAACCCATAAACACGGTAGTTTAGCTCAGCTAGCTTGGCTAACGCTGCCTCAGTCGAGTCCAGCTGTGAAAATGGATCTCAGCAGGTTTCGTGTTTGGCAGCTGATAATAACGCCGTTTTCTTTAGTTCATGTTAAATGAATACAGATGACCGTTTGGTCGCGGTCTGTTCCTCGTGTGTGCTGGTTCAGTTCTCCTCTGTCTTTCTCCACTAAACTGGACATCTCTATAGTCTTCTTCCTGCCGGAGCTGCTGTTTTTTGATTGGTGAATCTTTTACATTTAACCGCCCTTCGTTCGTGTTGGTGTCTGAGCTGATACACTCTCATCATTCATTTTTACTCTGTAACGTTATGAAAATTAAAGTAGCGAAGTAAAAGTATTTCATTAAAAATTAATTCAAGTATGAGTAAAAGTACTATAATTTAATTCTACTCAAAAAAGTACCATTACAGGGAAAACTGTACTCAATTACAGTAATGAGACTAAATGTAATTCGTTCCTCACACCTTTGAGGATCTGTTAGTAGAAATGGAATACAGTATACAAAACCATGTATTCCTAACTGTATAATCATCTGTAACTATAAATCACTGTTTTCGTTAGCTTAGAATGAGCCCTTCATATCTAGTGTCTCCCAGCAGGTCCTGTTCCAGACTGAATGTACCGGACTTTACAACATTTAATAAAATAATGAAAGTAAATTGGATTAAAAGACACTTAAAAAATCCTCATAGCCAATGGAATATTTGACCCAATTTTTTATTTCAAAAACTTGGTGGTCTGAACTTTTTGCTGCATCCTTATGCGAATGGGAAATTACCAATCAAACTAGCTAACTTCGATAAGCAGTCACTACTCTTCTGGTCTCTTATTTACAAACACAACTACTCTCCTCAACGTTGCTTCATTTGGAATAACCGAGACATCCGTCACCAAAGAAAAAGTTTATTCTTTGAAAACAGGTGCAGGAGTAATATTCTATTGGTAAGTCAACTGCTAAATGAAAGTGGTCAAATGTATCAACACTGACTTTCTACTTAAATATAACATTGAAATTAGCACAATTTAGCACAATTAGCACAAATTAGCTTCAATTGACAGAATTAACATAAGTGAAGAACGATTTAATAATAGATTTCTTAGAGATTTATAAATCCCAAGAAGTCTTCGTATAGTACTGGCTCAATGGACAATTTGTCATTGATTGGAACATAGTATGGACAAATATGTATTAAATAACAAAGTAACATACAAAATCCTTCATAAATATAACCCCTGAAACAGTATAGTCTCAAAATATAACTTACAAGTAGAGAATATATGTAACTTTTGTGGTGAAAAAAAATGAAAGTAT